CAACCCACGAGGAAAGAAAAACCCCTGGGACGGGCCGGGCTCTGCGCTGGCTCCTCAGCAGAAAAGCACCCCTGGCCAGGGTGTCCCCTCCTGGGTTTTGCTGTGAACCAGGGACGCGATCAGAACCGCTGCCTCCAGCATCACCCCCGAGCCTCATCCCGGGGGAGGTCGATTTACCTCCAGTTTTTGGGTGACTTTTTTTTTCAGCTCTTCGGATACGAAATCCTCAAAGACAAAGCTCCAGCCAAACTCTTCTGCTTCTGTTTTGTATTTCTTTGCTCTAACAAACTCCCTGGGAGAAATACAAACACGCTCAGGGAGGAGTTTTGCGCCACCAAACCCAGCGACCTGCGCACGCGGCGGGTTCAGAGCCAGGCACAACGGACCCGACCTGGGGCCACCCCACGCGGAGGGGTCCCCGCTCCTCCCCAGCACAGCTCTGGTGGGTTTGACATCGATTTATCCGATAAAACAGCCCCACTTGGAAACTCATCCCGCACCCTGTTCTTCCATCAAATGTCACAACTGCACAGATGGAAATTCCTTAAAACCACTCAAACCTACGGCTGCTGCTAAATGTCCCCAAAAGCCATCAACTGTCACATGCTGCTGAACAATCTCGCCCTGCTTCTGTCCCTTTGGTTCCTCATTGCTTAAGTTGCAGAAATTGCCGTTACTGGGTGTTACTGGGCAGTTCCTGGTGTGTGGAAGCGTCGACTCTTTGTAACCGCGAAGGGCTCAGCCGGGCACATAAAGGCATTTCCCCGACGCGCCCTGTGCAAGGGCTCCGAGAAAATACACCGAGGAGTGGTCCCGTGTTTACAGATGAAAATGGAAGCTATAGGAACCCGAAATGTGAAGCGGCGCAGCCCTATCAGTAAGAAAAGGCACCTACAGAAAAAGGATGTTTGCAAGGAAAGGAAAAAAAAAAAAAAGAGAAAAAGGGGGAGAAAAGGGAGAGAAACAGGAAGAAATGGGGGAAAGAGGGGGAAAGGGAATGAAAAGTAAGCGTGGTTGCAAGCTACACTAGTCAGATGCTTCATCTTGCACCGCAGAGGTGATTTATTCCAGACAAACCCATTTTTCATTCTAATTAAAGTGCTGGGAGTGCCCCAGTGGTGGCTCTCAGACCCTGGGAACCAGCCCCGAAAGACCCGGTGCCAACACCCCCTGCCCCCCGCGGACCCCAACCGTCGCTGGTACCTGAAATCTCCGTTGGTGACGGGATATCTGTCGATGGCAAACGGCTTCACTGTCACCTCCCTGACGGGCGCCTCTTCGTTCCACTGCTCCAGGGAGCTGGAGCCCATCTGAAACTTCCCCCCAGGCAGCTGCACCATGCCGTCATCCTTCCCAAGCGCTAAAAGTGAAGAAAATCAGCAGGACAACTTGAATTTTTAAACATGACCGCACCAGACAGCATGCATTCCATGCCAAAGTCACTTTCCGTACAGATAGGGCGCAGTATATTAAGTGACGATGATTAGCATTTGTATAGGTCCGCATTTTTTTTAATAAGGTTAAAATAAATTTTTTATAAGGTTTTTTTAAAGGTTA